TGACTATGGACATTTTTACTTGGCATGAAATTATCACAACTAGCATATTAAAAATATAGTGTATCCAAACAATTATTACAAACAGAATACCCACCCACATGCAAAAACAAAACTGAAACCTTTTTATTTTCTTCTGACAATAGCACCTCCTAAAGGAAGAAATGAATCTTGTTCTTGCATCAGTTTGTAACCTAGGACTTGCTTGTCCTCAGTGCACAGAAATTAGATCAATCTGATACCATATATACCATTTCTTTTCTTTTTTCAATTTTTCAATTTTTTCGGAAAAAAAACAAAAAGGCTTCAGGGAAAAAACGGGGAAAAACATTTTTTTCCCGGGCCTTCACATCTCTATGCGCATCTATGTATCTCAGCCAGCCTTGTTGTTGTTGTTGTTGTTGTTATTTTTATTATAGTCAGTTGCACTAACTTCTCATGTGATGGTGTATATTTTCCCACCAAGCATACAAAATGATTGTCATATTGTAGCTCTGTATGGAGGACTACCTCACATCAAAATACAGTTGTTGATGGAGACAGGCGTTCTTCCATGACTCCTCTGAAGCTCTTGACTGGGCCACATAGCAGAGTTCTGAAACATTTTCATTCTTACTCATAGGTATGTAAGTTAGGAGGTGATATGATAATCTGGCACAAATAGCATGTATGTTCTTTGCCAATGTGTTTCTCCAAGAATTTAGATTGTAATTATGTACAGTTCTCAAATTAGACTTTCTTGGGGGGGGGGGGGGGGGGGGTGAGAGTATCTTCCAAGTGACTGTTTTGTATAGACATTTCTTTCTCTAAGTACCTCTCTAATAGATGAGTAGGTGCAGGTTTTTATACTAACATGAAACTTTTAAAGAAATAAGTCAAATTGTTGAGTTGGATCCAGTGATCTGCCGGTGGAAGTTGCTGATGGTTGCAGGTCTTATCTCTCCCCCCCCCCCCAATCCCCTTGGTAGTCCTTTTGGAACTCAGTCCTTTCTTCTGCGGTATGAACTTAGTAATGGACAAAAAATAGCTTGAAAAACACAAGGCACAATTTTGGAATACATGGCTGGCATTCTCCACAGCTGAGATTTTTCAGTTGTACAGACAGGGAATATCCTATCAATAAATTCCAATCCTTTGATGTGTGTTTACATGTGGAGTGGGATTTTTATTGTTGTAGTTTTGCCTAAGATGCATACTTAGTCAATTTGAAAATCCTACAGAACTGTAAATGAATTCAAACTTGTAAGGTTTCACAAACACTGCAAAATTCTGTGCCAGAAGGCTGGATCTGTGATCCATAGTATGTTCACATCTGTGCAGATTTCTATATTTTTTCAAATACAGGGCTGTTGGGATGATTTCATAGAATTGGCTAACACCATTAGTCTTTATTAAGGATTCTTTAAAAAAAAATCAGATTAAGCACTCCGTGCAGTGTTGCAATATATACAGAATACAAGGTGAATTTATCCATTTGGTGGTGCACTTTTGTGTGTGTGTGTATGGTATATTGTTGAATATGATGGGAAGATTTGCCAGACATACTCAGAGAAGAATCACTGACTTGGCTATGAATTTCTTCATTGCTCCTAATGAGCTGTTAACGTTGGTGCCTGGTTTTCCACTCTCCTGTTCTATGCTGCTGAAGTCAGTTGATAACAAGACAACAATACAGTGTCTTAAATTGCTCAGTTTAAAAACGGCTGGGTATGATGTCAAAACAACTATAAATTCTCCCTAGCAAAGCACGTCCTATAATGGACCTTGTGGCTTTTTCCTGTAAAACTGAATTGTCTACTGACTGGATTTCTCCCTTCTCTTTTACTGTATCGTTTAGAGCTTAGCGCAGCCTCTTGTGTCTTTAACTGAGCTGCCACTAACAAATAAGGCTGCAGTCCAAAAATGCTTTCTTGAAAGACACTCTGTGAACCTCTGGAGGACAGCTTGCAAACAAGAGTTTTCACAGGCTGATTCACATTTTAATGTTTTCATTGCTCTTATGGTAAGAAGGGAAAGAGAATGCTGAGCAGGTCTGCATTTAGAACACAGTGTGTTGAAGTTTCTTAATCGACATGCTTTTAGTTAGTTTCACGGCACAACTATACAAGCCACTGTCTCCTGGTTTGCCCGAGGGATGCACCTCCATTTTGTAGCCGTGGGAAAAGCTATTTAAGAGTGCCAGTTAGGTCAGTCGGGACCACCAGGGCACAGGGGGGGAGGGGCTCCTGCCTTTCCCCTGGGCCATTTTTCCAACTTGAAATGGCACCACAGTGTGTGTTGGCTAATCCCTTTGCCACAGTGGTCCTGACCAGAATTGGGCCCCCAGTGTGCTCTGTAAATAGCTTTCCCTGGGCACTACAAAAATGGAGGCACGTCCTTGGGGCAAAGCTGGTTGTCGCGTCTACTGTTATGCTTCTACAAGCAAGCATGGAAGCAAGCTATTGCAGCTTTGCACTTCAGAGGTCTCATGCTCCCGAGAAGCTGAGCTTCTGTGCTGTCCCTCCCAATTACTGCATTTCAGATAGCTAGACTGTTTAGGTGTGTTGAGTTTCTAGAGATTGTACTTGAAGGGTTCAAAATGTAAAAAAGTTGTACATGCTCTGTTAAAGCTCTCAGGCTTAGCAGGGGAACAAAGAAAAGTGAATACATGCAGTCCTCTCTCCCTTCTCTAGGTATTTTGATGATTGTTTAGGAAGGAGTAGCTTTACTTGAGGCTGCAGCAAGTTAGTTTGTCATTGTCTTAGATCCTGCAGGGTGGGATTCCTCTCCACTGTTCCCTGCCTCATGAACAAATTGAGTCCCTAGGTGAAAGCTTAGTCCATCATGGCATGTGCCCCAAAATGGAAGAGGAACCTCTTCCTCAAGTTCAGAGTTTCTAATAAGCACTCTTTCTCCCCGCCCCCTTTTGGGATGGCCTTCCTTGTCTGAAAGGAAGAGTTTTTCTGTCACGTTAGTCTTTCCAGCTTTATGGCTCTAGGTGTGACTTACTAGCAGGAGGTGATGTAGTCAGCTATTGATGTAACTTAAGAGCTTGATTGCTCTTTGCTTGACAGCTCTTCTCCAACCCCCTTCCCTTCTTCCAGCTGTTATTCTGGAACAGCAACCCTGTCCATGTACAGAGAGCGGTCACAGTAACTGAAGCATTGGGATGAGTCCCTGAGTGGAAGAGGTTTCTCTGCAGCTGTGGTAAACGGGAAAATGCTGTGCATCTTTGACTCCATAATCTGCTATGTTTTAGACTGTGTAGGGAATCTCGCACATTTTATACACTTCAGATGAATATTTATGGCTCTCTGTGTCCAAACATGAGGATGGATCACATCAGTGGTGATTAATTACCTCAAAAATAGGATCTATACTGATGTTACACAAACACTGCAAACCACTACATTGCTTCCAGATTTCATGATTGGGACTGCCAATTCTTAGAATTCAAACATGGGTTAAAACAACCAAGCTTCTACTTCATAAGCAGTGTTTTCAGACATCGACTTTTCTTTTTCTCTATCAGGAAACTATTGTGTTTTATAAATGAACAAAGTGTAGTGTAAGAATTTGTTTTGCCACTGGAGCACAGATGAGAAAACTGATACTTTCAGACCTCTGTATTTATGGTATAAAGTGCTTGACCAAACTGCATTCTTAAATGGAGATTAGTCTCTACATCTGAAAATTAACACATGTACAAATAGCACCTGCTATTTCTAGTATGTATTGCAGCCCAGTATAAATATCAAGTTCTCAATTTTGTTGTCCTTTGAAAACAGCACAATATTGTCCATAGTGGTTTGTGTAGCACTTTCACAAGAATATCAGCTATGACAGAGTGGGTAGAAAGCAGGATTTCTAGCTCCAACTTATAATTAATACCTTTTAGAGTCAAATACAAGTGTATTCTTCTATCTTTTTTTTTTTTTTTTAGTTCTGTAGCTTGTAACATGCCAGGCGTAACAACAACAACATTTTAAAATGAGATTGTGGGCTAAAAGTAGTGTTTCTGATATCACTGTGACATTTTGTTTTCATAGAAGTCACTTAAGGTTATGGAAATTGTCAGGGGAAAAAAAAACAATTCCTTTTGCTTAAGAAGTTACCATGCAGAATCTGAGTAAAGATATTTCAGAGCATGGTTCATCGTCTGGTGCAACAGATACATTTCCCTGAGCACCACATGGCCTGGATCAAAGCATCTCATGACTGGGATCAGTGCAGCCAAATCATTACGTATTGATTGGAATCCTGCTGGAGGCTTAACCCTTTAGGGTTCAGAGTGTGTGTGTTGTTTTTTTCTTCTTCCTTCCCGGTTCTGATTTATAGAGAAGCACAATAACCTCACTGCTAAACTTTAAAAGGGTTAATGATGCCTTCCATCCTGCTGAAACTACCAAATACTTTCATTGTTAGGTTTCTTATTATAATGAATTTTACATTTTGAAAATGTGGATATTTCACGTTTGCTGGGAATGTATGAGCAAGGCTTGAACGAAGGCATCCAAACAGGAACAAACTATAAGGCTGAGTCTGTAGTGTTAAAAGATTCAGTAATGTCTCTCAGTGTGTCTGTGTCCCTTTCTGAATCATAATTTGGAATGCCTGTAATCATGAAAATTATTTAACATGCAAAATTGCTGAATTACAGTGGTGCTTTTTCCCCATCCAGATCTCTATCTATTTGTGATGTTCCTACGTTTCTTAGATGAAGAAGAGCATCAGATTCACCCTGTCAAATACTACCTTACCAACATTAACTTCGTCTGTTTTATTTCAGTTCTTTACAAAACTTGTAATTAATTAATCAGACTGGCCTGATACAGTTTCTACAAGCTGTGTTAGACGGGTTTGTTACAAAGGTCAAAGGGGAGCTTCAGTGAGTTGCATTATGTTGTCCATGGGTCCCTCACTTTATTTATGTTTTACAACTGTACACTTTTGCTCTCAGCACAGCACCAAGATAAATTTATTCAGTAATGGTTGCCTCCCCTTTTTATTTTCCATTCCTTCAGTTTATCCCATGAAGAGCACTGTCATAGCCATCCACTTTATGGGCATGGAGTATGCAAATGGCCGGGCTGCGAAGCAGTATGCGAAGATTTCCAGTCATTTCTAAAGTAAGAGCAATTTTTTTTTAGCATTTCATGTATTTCGTTAAGCATAACCCTGCTTTGGAATGACCTGAAGTATCTTCTGTTGTCCAGGACTTCTTTTCAAAGGTATCCTTCACAAACAACACTGAAATATGAATCCCACTGTTGTCAGTAGAGCAATGTTGAAGAGCATTTAAAGAGGCTTTCCAAAGAATTTCATTCAGCGTCATACATATGACGTCAGTAGCTATTCAAGTGTATATTTGGTCCTTTATCCTTTACTAGCCTGATACTACGGTATTTAAGTTCTGTAAATCCAGTTATAATGCTGATGATGTGAAGTTTGAAATGTAACATTTGTTGTAAGAATTCTAATGGAGAAGATTGTAGTATAAGAAATGAAGTGAGACATACGTACTTTTTCTCTCTCTACTGAAGGACCTCTCTGTAGACCACATTGGTGGTTCTGCCTTCAGATGCTAGGATCACCAGGCTGCTTGGTGAGCTCACTCTGGAGCAGGCAACATAGAACTGTCCATTTAAGAAGCAGTTGTCTGTTAAGTCAACTCCTTCCACCTTCCACAAAAGTGATGACCTTTCTACTTGTGTTCCTGGGTTGTTTTGCTCATATAGAGACTGTGTTGTTCTGAGCATCTCAGGGTGATCTCGCTGGTACTTGGCCTGCGCAGCTCAGTGCTCCGCAGGAGTACTATGTGCAAATGTCTTTGCCACATTCCTAAGTTGCCTCCTTGTAGCATTGGTGTATCTGGCTCGATGTTTGCCAGGAGCTTTCTTGGGGGCAGTGAGAGGTGTGAGGGTGAGTTGATGTGAGTGAGTGGTGATGTGGTGGACATTTCTTCAGGTTCATGAGGGAGGCACGCATCAAAATGGCTCCTAGAAAGGTTTGTTGCTGTCTCCCCATGAATATTCATTAACTCAATTGCCATGCTGGCTTTTTTGAAAAATGTCTATTTAGAAGTCTTGAATTGCTGATTTCTGTAACTGTCCTCAACTGTCTGCAGTCTCTTCTGTGTTTTTACCTCAGAACATTGGCATCCACAGCTGAGCAATCAGAGGGAAGTGGGTGCAAACAGGCAGATTTTACCTCAGAACTCTGAACTACACAGTTGACAAATGGGGGGGGGGAGCAGCCTGCCAGGCACATGGAAAACAATTGGGGGAATCACATTTTGCCCCTTTTTTACCCTCTTAGGGGTCGTGTTTCTCAGAAATCTCTTTGTGGGGGAGTTGACGTCATGGTAGGAATGCACTCCCCTTATTTTGGGTTTCTTGGTGCAGGGGTTTGGCCTGGGCATTGAATTGGGGGGGGCATATACCCCTTTTTTACAAAATTGTCTCTCATTTATGTTACATCTAAGAAGTGGGACATAGCTACCTATTCCAAACACCATCCGAGCAATCAGATATTAAGCAAGTTCATATGAACCAATTTTCTAGAACCCACATTGTGAGAAGTTAAATAACCTAATAAAGAAAACCACTTTTCTACAAATTTGGGGTATATTTCCATAGCAGGTGGGAGTGCGGCTAAAGCCATTGGTGAGGCTGGGCCAGCAGCATCGCTAAGGTGATCCCACTGGGGCTGCGTCCCTGATGGATTAAAGTACCCTGACCCTGCTCCTACACCTGACAGACACCTGCCTGTCTGGTGTTGGGGGGGGATTGTGTTTAAAGGCATTGGGGAGGCTGGGCCAGCAGCAGGACTAAGGCAGTCCTGCTGAACAAACCTTCCCAATGGTTGTAAGCATCTCACCTCCTCTCCTACACCTGACAGGCAGCTGCCTGTCCAGTGTAGGAGGGGGAAGGAGTATTAGAAATCATTGAGGAGACTGGGCTAGCAGGATCACTAAGGTGTTACTGCTGGGGTGGACTTCCTGGTGTCTTTAAGCATCCTGTAACCACTGCGGCACCTAACAGACAACCACCTGTCAGGTGAAGGAGGTGGTGTGTGTGTGTTTGAAGCCATGGGGAGGCTGGGCCAGCAGCACTGCTGCACCTCACAGGTGGTTGGCTGTTCCTGATTTCCTGAACTGTCATTAGCTCTCTGCAGTCTCCTGTAACTGTTTTTTTAACCTCAGAACACTGAGCTCTGCAGCTGACCAGAGGGTGGGGGGTGAAAGGAGGCAGCAGCCTGACAGCCACATAGGAAGCAATAGGGGGAGCACATTTTACCCCTTTTGACCTCCTTAGGGGTCAAATTTCTAAAAATCCCTTCTTAGTGAGCATCTATGTCATGGTAGGAGCGCTCTCCCTGAATTTCGTGTTTCTAGGTACAGGGGTTTGGGCTGGGCATTGATTTTACGGTGAGGGGACTTTCTTTTAGATGGATGGATGGATGGATGGATGGATGGACGGACGGACGGACGGACGGACCACAGCCAATAATATGTGGACTTTCATGATGGTGCTGTACCCACAATTTCATTGCATGTGTGAACAAGCCTCAGGTCTAACATAGAAGGTTAAGCAACTTAGAGAGCAATCCTCATTGAAGTAATACTCAATGAAGACTTAAGTAGAATTCTAAGCAAGTCTCTTTAGAATCCTACTTAAGTCTTCAATGGGTATTACTCCTAGGAAAGTATCCTTAGGATGGCACTGCTGCAGTTATACCTTTCTAAGCAAGAGTTAAACCTTTCTAAGCCCTTTGGGTTCCATGGGTTTAGGAAGGTGAAACCCCCATTATTACAGTGTAAGTCCCAATAAATAGTCCTAAGTAAGAGTCTAAGCAGACATGTTTAGATTTGCTCACATAGTTGTACTTTTAACTTTATCTCAGTTATTTATCCTGCTTTTATTTATGGACTGGCAAAGTTTTGTATGCAATTAATTTGTGTCAGGTAAGTAACTAATGAGCAAAGTTAATGTTACTAATAAATAAACTCTAATTGTTTTAGACTATTAAGGAAAACATTATGCATTAAAGTTACATTTTTGGGTTTCATAAATGCAGGAATTCCAGTATATAAAAGCAAAGGCTGTAGTGGTTCGTTCGGTAATGTTTTCAATAGTTTTATAGTGATATTGCATATTGATCTAATTTGTACTGTATTTAAATACTCGCATTTTTGATTTACCTTTGAATTTTTAAGCTTAAATCTTGCAGCATTCTTTTCTAGGAAACTTCATAGATAGTTACCTGTTCTCATTTGTCATGAACTTGTAAATAAATCCGTAGGTGAAAGCAGAATAGAGTTGTATCCATCCTGTCCCTGTGGGCCTGCTTCATGCCTTCACATTGCATATAAACTTGGAGTGTGGTCTGCCTTGTACAGTACTGTCCAAAAGTTGCAAGAGGGAGTTAAGAAAGCTTTGTACTTTGACTCCACTCAAAGAAACATTGGTGAGATCCTGGTATATTTTGATTTTCTCAGTATCTAGCAAGTAATGGGTTAGTAGCTTACTTTTCCATTCTCTTTGCACGTCACTTGTTTTAGCAACTTACCTGGATTAAACAGTCCACGGACCTCCCATCTCATTCCTTATCTTTTAGACAGTCTTGAGTCCAGTAGCACCTTAGAGAACAACAAGAGTTTCAGGACATAAAGAGTTTCAGGGCATAAAGAGTCAAATCTCCCTTTGTCAGGAGCTTTGACTCTCAGAGGTTTATGCCCTGAAATTCCTGGTTTCTAAGGTTCTACTGGGCTCGACTCTAACTCTTCTACTGCAGACCAGCATGGCTACCCTCTGAAACTTATCTTTTAGTTTTGTGCTCCTTTAAAATATGAGGATGATCTATAAAGGTAAAGGTAAAGGTAAAGGTTCCGTTGCTCGAAAGCCAGTCGAGTCCAACTCTAGGGTTGCGGTGCTCATCTCCGTTTCCAAGCCGAAGAGCCAGTGTTGTCTGAAGACGTTTCCGTGGTCATGTGGCCGGCATGACTAAACACCAAGGCGCGCGGAACGCTGTTACCTTCCCACCGAAGTGGTACCTATTTATCTACTTGCAATTTCTTGCTTTCGAACTGCTAGGTTGGCAGGAGCTGGAACTAGAGACGGGAGCTCACTCCGTCATGCGGCAACTTGGGTCTCGAACTGCTGAACTACTGACCTTCCACAGTCTGCAGTTCAGCATCTTAACCACTTGAGCCACCGCAACTCCTGAGGATGATCTATATTGACATCCAAATAACCAGGCATAGAATTGGTCTATGTTAAATTTCTTATATACTAATGGAGGCAGTTTCCAACACATCGCTCAGGCTTAGAGTAAATTTACCTTGATGTTCCGCTGCTAAGCTCTCCTGTTCGTTGACAGTGCACAACAGTATAAATACCAAGCTTGCATCCATAGGAGTTGATAAACTTCTATTGTATAGGAAAGTACAGCTTACTAAATCAGTAGAAGTCAGTTCAATTAAAGGTACCTTCTTTCTGATTAAATTTTGCTTAAGGCTGGTTCACAGATGCAGAATTTTCATTTGTGTACTCTAGTATATATACAACATACAAGAATCCTTGGAAGCAGCCATTCGTGTGTATCAATATTATGCCCATGTCACAAGTTAAGAGAATGTCAAATAGCGATGTTCCATTTATGCATCCCTGCAGATTGTCAGACCATCATTTATACACATATACTAGGAATCTTTGTACTGGAAAGTACAGGAATAATTTCTGGCTGTACTTAATTTATTTGTTTAAAATATTTTTCCCCACCACTTTCATCTTTGGTCCCCAGGGCAGCTCACAATTCATCATTAATAAACTGTGGTCTAGAACTTTTAAACAAATTAATAAAATCCTCCAATACTGCACAGCAAGAGACCGCACAGGACAACCTGTTTCAGTTGGCCAGTTTCCACTAAAAGCCCAGGATTTTTTTTAAAACTGTCTTTATGTGGCACCAAGATGACAACAAAGTAGATGTGTGACTAACAGACAGGAGGAAGGATGTTACACATGCAGCTCCAGCACAGAGAAAGTCTCTCTCCAGTAGGCATCCACTTTACCTCCAAACCTGGGGGAGCCAGGGCAGGACCTTCACTGAATGTCTTAACAGTTGG